TAATGGCACTTATAAGGGGAGCACAGCTCAGGTAACTTTCCTCTTGCACCCTATGCTCACATCCAAGTGGACCCCTCAACAGTAGCCACACAGATGGCCAGAAAAGCAGCAGTTCTTACCCACTTCCATGTGGCCATAGAACAAAGGAAAGTCAAAGGGACAAAGAGCAGCAGGGCAATGGGACTCCAAAGAGCCAGGTCACCGAGCCCCCAGCAACAGCCTATGGAGCGGCTGAGCAAGACAGGAGAGCACGCTGGACTCTGAGCTTTAAGGGACAGAGTCAGCATAGGACCAGTATGGACCAAGAATAAAACCAGAAAGAAACAATCAGAAGGCCTCCCTACAGGCCACCAGGGGACCCAAAGCTTCCTTCTTAAAAGGTAAAAGGTAAAGGCCCTCCCGTTGATCGTCGATTTGCTCGAGCGGGCCCAGTAACGTCTCCATTGGAGACTTTGTTGTTACTGTGTCTGGCATATCGAATACTCTCGGTAGCTTGCCGGGCTCTCCGAGAGGGGCGGAGGAATCGAACACGGGTCGGCCATGTTGGCCGCTTGTAAGGCGAACGCCCTACCGCTGTGCTATCACTCCAGCTCACAAAGTAAATTTATATTTTTTGAATTTCAGAGTTTTTTGCCTTTGAGATCCAATTATGTCATTTGTGTCGATGCAAAAATAAAGGGTGGAACTAATAACATTTTGAAGCAAAAGGCATGTGATCTGGCTTGTAGATTTCTCTACTTCAAGCCATCCTTTATTCTTCTGCCTGGAGAATATTTTTTTAAGTATTTCTTTGTACGTGATGCCAAATCAACTTAAACTCCAGAGTTTATTTGATGTATGGAATAATTACAGATTTTCTCCACAATTGGGTTTCTACATACCTTTCCCCAATTCTAAATGCTTTTTTGCCCTCTGTCTCAGGCAGGATGAAAGTCTGTCCATTTTGGAGTTTCTTAAATTTGGAGATTATACACAGAAGTGCTCCTGGATTACTCTTGTCTCTGGCAAAGGGATTACACCTGGCTGGGCTCAGGGGACCATATAGAATGCTGGGGATTGAACCCAAGTTGGCTGTATGTAAGACAAGTATCCTATCCATTGTGCTCTCTCTCCAGCCCCCAAAGTAGCCCCATTTCATGAAAACAAATATTCTAGACGTCTACATATTTCTGAATACAACTCACCCCTTTTTCATATATCATAAATATTTCTAAGTTAGAAAGTCTTCCAGTAGTAGGCATCACACTCACCAACTGCCCCCCTCCCCCCGTGCCATGTAATTCATCAATGGCCAAGACTTAAAGTCTATAAAACCCAGCTCCTGGACATCTTATTATCTAGTTCTTACTCTGGAAAATCCGGAAGGCTACCAAAAGTATCCTGCCCGCATGGCAGAGTCTGGCAAACTCCCCGTGGCATATTAAATATGCCAAAAACCAGAAACAATGATGGGTCTCATTCCCCTGACCCTGAAAGAGCCTTGAATGTGGCACTTTCTAAAATATTGGGCTAGGAAGAAAGAGACATTACTGGTGCCTGCTCAAGGAAATCGATGAACAACAGGATGGCAGTGATTCAGTGATACAGAAAGTCTATCTCCTTCCTTAATGCATGTCCAACTATAAACACTTTCTTCTGTGTGACACGGTTTATCAAGCTTCTTCAAAACACCCCAATCGTAATTCTTATGAAATGCTACCAAAATGACAGTTCTATATTCATTGGCATGTGTACAGCTTGGAGATGCCTTTATTGATGATTTTATTTGAATTGCAAAGTCTCAGATTTTTCTACTTTAACTCTACATATATTGAATGCCAAATTTTCATTGTCCATGATTCTTTATGATCCCTAATTTGTTTCTCGAATGGCATGAAATTAAATCATGCTCCTTTTACTTCAATGTGTTATCTTTGAGATACCTCTTCTTCAGAAACAGATTTATTTTCCCTACAATGTTGCTCTTTGAATTGAAGTTAAGAAGTATGACTTGTAACAAAGGTCATCCTGATTTTTAGTGTTAAGAAACAACTGTCAGATTGGAAGCTACCTGGAAAAGTTTCTCTCATTTCTAGAGCACTTACAGCACATCTGGTGCAGCCAATATATTATTATGATATTTGAATGCAACTTAAACTAAAAACTTAATGGGAATGAATTAATTTTAGCAGGAGTTCTCTGATGCAATGAATTGACCATATATTTGGGCAATTAACCTAAAAGTCAGTTCAATGTAAAATAATATGTTTTGTGTGGTATAGAATAAGTTCCTCCAAGGAGAAGGTTGGCCTTGGGTTATTGGGAGATTATCTTCAGTTCCCTTCAGTGTCTTGACCTGTGGGATTTTGTTTGTTCAATGGAAGGAATTGAGAACAAAAACAACTGGGTAGGCTCGAAACTAAAGAATATTCACGTGGGTAGAATGTGATGGAAACTCTTATCCACCAAATAAAACAAAACACCAAAACAACCAAACAGTTGAGTTGATTTCTGTGGGCAATACTCATTATTTTCATACGTCAATGATGGGGAGCTACCTATATATAAATCCATGAGGAGAAGAAACAGAAACACAATTTCTAGAACTTTCTAGGACTCTTCCCTATGTTTTCTTCCCTTGGCTTATTTTTACCTGTGTTCTATCCCTGTGGTGAGCCCTACCCTGAGTAGAAGAACTTTCAGTGAGTTCTGTAAGAACTTCCAGTGAGTTATTCAATCTGAGGGTTGTTTGGGATTCAGTCTTAGCAGTAGTTAGAGTAGTCTTGTGCAAATTGTCTTCCCTCTCACTTGAAGTTGCCTAAATTTAGTGTTATCAATATCCCTGGGCTCCGGCATTGGAAGGTCTAGGAGGGGTCCCTGGGACTCCTGAGCAATCCTTTTGAGGCATAACCAACCCCACTCCTATGAAAAAAGGTTTTACAGTAAATTTTTTCTTAAACTTTTGCTTCTGTGTTTTTTATCAGAAATTAGTTATATAATGAATCTCAGCCATTTTGGACCAAGGAGTGTTGTGTGGAGATGCCATAATTTCTACTTCACATGAAACCAGGGACTTATCTGTAAGAAAATCAGGAAAAATGAGCATTGGGTAGGTAAGGTCAGATTCTGTTATTCTAGAGGTATTGGCTCCCTTGAATCAGCATCCATCTTTATGAAGAACTGAACTGAATTACTTAACAAGAAAGGGTTCTCTCAGGCTTCTCCTGTTCTGTGACCTTTAAACTAAGAAGACAGGAATCTACCACTGACTCTACTTTTTTTTTTACTTTTTTTGGGTCACACCTGGTGATACACAATGGTTACTTCTGGCTCTGCACTCAGAAATTACTTCTGGATGTTCTCAGGGGACCATATGGGATGCTGGGAATCGAACCCAGCACGTGCAAGGCAAACACCCTACCCACTCACTGTGCTATCACTCCAGCCCCTGAACCAACCAATTGAGGTAAAATCCAGTGATGCTTTGTAACTTTGGCTGTAATTCCAATTTAGAAAGAGGACAATAAAAACACACATGGCAACTTTCTCACAGAAACTATCAAACTTCAAAACATTCATGGTAAGGACTCACTGTGATATAAGTGATGTAAACTTCTTTGTATTATCTTTGACTTATTTTACTAGAAGCAGAGCTTATAAGCGTGATTCTTATGAACACATTTATTAAGAGAACATCCTGAAGTATATAGAGAATATTCCTATTCTCTACTCCAATTCTATGTATGTGCAGAATACCCACACAGAGAATATGGGAGCTCAGTGACTGCAAATCAGGAAGAAACCAGCCATGTTGACTCTAATCTCAGGCTTCCGTTCTCTAAAACTGACAAAATATGGTTCTGTTGGTTGGACATTCAGTTAATTAGATTTGTCTTGGCATTTTGAACAGATTAGTAGTTTACTCATTTAATGTAACACAGAATCTCAGACTACACAAAAAATCAATTTCACTTGTTCAGTACCAAAGCAGGAACAGGCATCTGAATTCTAAAAGAAGCAAAAATAAAACCAAAAATACCCAAAAAGGTTTGGCCTGAAGTGTGTGAGAATTCATTGAATTTAAAGAAAACTTTATCTTTATTATTGATTTATTTTGGGTGTGGGGAGACACACTTGACGATGCTTGGGGCTTGCTCCTGGCTCTGCACTCAGGGATCACTCCTGACTCTGTTCTGGAGACCATCTTGGGGTCCCAGGGATCCAACCTGGGTCAGATATTACAAAGCAAAGGCCCTACCCACTGTCAGATCTCTCTGGACCTTATAGGAAAATTTTAAGCAAGTCATTTATTTGTTACAAGAGAGTAAGTACCGATACATTTTAGGGGCACAAAGTTGATAAAGTCATGTTTTACTGTAGTTTTTCAAACTTGTCATTAAAAAAGAATTTTATAGAACTTCTGGAAAAATTAAACTCTCGACAAATCAAGTCCAAAAGATTTTGATTTTGTCAGCTAGTGTGGGGACACTCCTTTGGTTTTTAAGAGTCCTTCAAGTGATTAACTGGGATTTTGAGTTGATAATCTGTTTGACAATGATTACTTTTTATTGTTTCTATAAAAAAGGTATTATTTAACATGTATTCTTTTCATGGGCTGGAGCAATAGCATAGCGGGTAGGGCATTTGCCTTGCATGTGGCCAACTGGGCCCACCCGAGTTCAACTTCTCCGCCTTCCATTCTTCTGCCCCTCTTGGAGAGCCTGGCAAGCTACTGAGAGTATCTCACCCACACGGCAAAGCCTGGCAAGCTCCTCCTGATGACACTCGATATTCCAAACACAGTAACAAGCCTCACAATGTTACTGGGCCCGCTCAAGCAAATTGATGAACAATGGGAGGACAGTGACAGTGACAGTGATTCTTTTCATAATGAATATAACAGCAAAATAGATAGTGGTCAAGTGACTAAAAACTGAGTCATCTCTCCTTGCAATTAAGGGGGAATGTAGCCCAGAACTGCATTCTCTGTCTCTGTCATCTCATACTTTTTTTTTTTAAGAACCATTCAGACTGCATCCGCCTCCTCTCCCTCTTCCAAAGGAAGAGAAGGAGCATCAGTGGTAAAAGGCAGTTGCAAAAGCAACACCTAGAACTGGCTTCACACTCAGGAGACGATGCTCTGACTTGTGGTTGCCAGTGCGCTACACAATGAGAGAAACTTCTCTAGTAACAAACTCTAGAAAAGATCCCAGAAACTATGTCTTCATCTCATTCTTAAAGTCTTTTTAGGAAACTTGACTCATGGCATGACTCATGTTTTACCTAGCTTTGAAAGGAAATGTTAAATCTTTTCATTTCCAAGGTAAAACTAAATAGCTTAGAATGTGCACACACACACACGCACAGCACACTAAAAACAATAGATTTGTGTCCACTTTCAGGAATATTTTAAAATAATAGAAAAAATTTTATTTTTAATATTTTCCATGGTAAAGGTAAAGGTAAAGACCCTCCCGTTGATCGTCGATTTGCTCGAGCGGGCCCAGTAACGTCTCCATTGGAGACTTTGTTGTTACTGTGTCTGGCATATCGAATACTCTTGGTAGCTTGCCGGGCTCTCCGAGAGGGGCGGAGAATCGAACTCGGGTCAGCCATGTTGGCCGCTTGTAAGGCGAACGCCCTACCCGCTGTGCTATCGCTCCAGCCCTAAATATGTATTTTTATATTCTATTTTTATTTATCTATTTATTTTTATTTAACTAACGGGTTTATGAACTTTTCCTCATGCTTTTCATGAGTACCACCCCACCACTGAGAGCCTGCTTCCCTCCACTGGTGTCCGAAGGACCTCTCCCATTTGCATCTCCTCCCCTCCCGCCATGTAAATTCTTCATAGACTAAATCTTCAGTTCTGATGACTTCAGTTCAGTTCAGTTGTTTGTTGTTTCCTTACTGTATTTCTTTTTTAAATCTCCTTTGGGGGATTGATCACTTTCTCTTTTTAAATTTCTTTTCTCTTGTTTTCGTTTCTTCTCTTCTTACTATCTCCAACCATTTTCAGCAACTCGTTTTCTGTGTTCTATTTTTTTAAAAATTTGATCAGTGCTATTAATAAAGAGCAGATGCTTCTGACAAACACTTTGGTGTTTTTGCTTCAAAAACTGTTCGGTCTTAGGGATCGAGACATAGTACAAGGAATTCGGTGCTTGTCTTACAGACAGCATGTTTGATCTCGGTTTGAGCCCACATACTATACATGGTCCCCTGAGCACCATCAGGAGTTTTCTCTGAGCACAGAGCCAAAAGTGAGTCCCAAGCATCTCTGGATGTGGCCTCAAAACAAAAAGTAAACAAAAATACTAAGAAGTTGTTCTGTCATGATATGGATGTCTATATTTCTCTGATTATTTATTACCAAAGTACGTAAAGTAAAAAGCTAAGTAAAGGCCCTCCCGTTGATCATCGATTTGCTCGAGCGGGCCCAGTAACGTCTCCATTGGAGACTTTGTTGTTACTGTGTTTGGCATATCGAATACGTCACGAGGAGCTTGCCAGGCTCTGCCTTGCGGGCGAGATACTCTCGGTAGCCGGGCTCTCTGAGAGGGGCGGAGGAATCGAACTCGGGTCGGCCATGTTGACTGCGTGTAAGGCAAATGCCCTACCGCTGTGCTATCGAGCGATAGCACAGCGGGTAGGGCATTTGCCTTGCACACGGCCAACATGGTCGACCCGAGTTCGATTCCTCCTCCCCTCTCGGAGAGCCCGGCAAGCTACCGAGAGTATTCGATATGCCAGGCACAGTAACAACAAAGTCTCCAATGGAGACGTTACTGGGTTACTACTTCATTATAACCAAAGTACGTATCCTAGTTTAATTCAAAATCAACTAATAATGACTTTTTTAACCATTTTAATAACTTTTTAATCCTTTGAAAACTTTACTGGCACTGACATTATTATTTGTTTTACTGAATCAGATAAAACTACTACATGTGAAAGTTAAAAAAAATAAACAAATAATACCAACTTCATTTGATTCAGCCTAATATTAGTTGACTTGAATAAACTGGAAAAACAAGATTAAGTGAATTTACTCAAGGTTAACTAAACTGAACAGACAGAATTGATTTCAATGTACCCATTAAGTCTTTCCCCTAAAGTCACAGTTATTTCTCTTAAACAAAATTAAAAAAGAAAAGCGTATTAGACAAGACCTTCAGCCTTCCCTTTAAAGTGAAAACAACTAGCTCCAAAGCTGTTTATTTGATGAAACCATTGGTACCTACAAATCTGACACGTAAAATAGTTTTTCTCAAACTTTTTCTGACTGCAGTTCTCTTCTGACCTTGTTTGCTTCCTATGGCCTCTTGTTCTCATTTTCATGATTTTTTTACTTGTAACTACCTTGAAATATTCTGGGAGCCAATAGGAGATCAGAATAAGAAAGGCTGATATATATTTTACATTTATAGTTTTTTAACTTCAGTTTTGCAACTTTATAGTTCATATATTATATGTAGTTATATATATTACCTTATGATCAACACCAAAATCATTTTTATATGTCGGGCTGGAGCGATAGCACAGCAGGTAGGGTGTTTGCCTTGCAAGTGGCCAACACGGCTGACCCGAGTTCGATTCCTCCAACCCTCTCGGAGAGCCCGACAAGCTACCGAGAGTATCTCGCCTTCACGGCAAAGCCTGGCAAGTTACCTGTGACGTATTCAATATATCAAACACAGTAATGATTATCACAATGGAGACGTTACTGGGCCCGCTCGAGCAAATCGATGAACAACTGGAGGACAGTGACAGTGACAGTGATCATGTGATTAATCCTATTTACCCATTTTACTTACATTCCATTTCCTTTTCCTCTTGTATTGGAAATTATAAGAGACTTTTGGAAGAAATGGAAGTCACACACACAAAAAAGCCTTTTTATTGATTTGACATCAATGAAAATTTGTTTAATATTGTTCTGCACATATGCGATTTTGAGTGAACATACTTTTTAAAATAAGAAATAATTTTTCATTTGTAGAAATACTGTAGTGAAAATAAATTTTAGATTATAATGCCTTATGTATTACTTTGGAAAACCAAATAAATAAATGTAAACTTACTTATGTGGAGCCATTATATATATATATATATATATATATATATATGCTATAAATAATAAGATGAAAAGAAATTAGTAGTAGTAAAGGGTATGAACCCAGTAATTTTGCTCTCATAGCATCACAAATAATGAAAAACATTATTGTAGCCTTGGTAAGGGCCTTCACTATTATGAGGTTCCTAAACTTAGAACTATTAAGATAGATTTATTCTTTTAATAACCCTGTTCTGTCTTCCTGCATTCACAGTCCTTCCCATATTCTTTCCTTAAGCCACATTGCTTAAGAAGTTCTTCTCCTTAACTCTCCATTTTCCATGTAACTTGTCTTGGTCAAGAAACGAAGTAGAGAAAATAGCTGTCAGCTCTATGCCTGGGACTAAGGATGCTTTGCACTGGTACAGATCAACAGTTGAAATGTTTTATTAGAAAGTTCAAATGTAGGAGGGGCTAATATAGTGGTAGAGTGGAGAGGGCATTTGCCTTCCACATGGCTGATCTGGGTTCGATTCATAGCACCCCATATGGTCCCCCAAGCCTGCCAGGAGTGATCCCTGAGTTGCTGTGGCCCCCAAACAAAAAACAAATACAAGATAAACTTTGATTTCAGTTTGACAAATATTTTTATGGGACATATCTTAAAATTTGGTTTTAATCTAGGGGAACTGAATAATACCTTGGTAAAAAGATACAAATGATATTTTTGATGTCCCAGCTATTTTGATTATTTACAGAAAAGGAGACAAGCCCTGGTCTGGATTATTCAATAGAAGCTGGCCGTAAGATATGACTTGAGTATACTTTTGCATATTATCTCCTTTGTAGTTTATCTCTGATTTTATTAGTGTTAGGTAGAGTTCTTCAATTGAAGAATTTGTAAAGTCTCAGGGATAAAGCCTGTAGTACTTAGGAAAAACATCTCTAAAATGAGAATAGAGGGACAGAGTGATAATACAGCAGGAAGGCTGTTTCTTTGCATGTAGCAGATTCAGGCTTGATTCCTGTCACCAACATGGTTCCTCCAAACACCACCAGGAGTGATCTCTTAGCCCTGCCCATAGCCCAGTGGCCTCCAAACCTAAATAAGTAAAATAGAAATAGAACTTCTGAACATATTCTATAAAAAAAGCAACTGTAATAGTTTTTGAAGTAGAAATGACATGGTTCAAGAAATGATGAAAATTAGGTCAGAGAGATAGTACAGAGGGTTAGGTGCTTGCCTTGCATGTGGCTGACTCCAATTCAACCCTAAGCAATGCATATGGTCCCCCAGTGAGTTCCTCCATGAGTGATCTCTGAGCACAAAGCCAAGAGTAAGCCCTGGATATTGTCAGGTCTGGCCTGATACCTCCCCAGAAGTTATAAAAATCTTTCTTATTTAGCTATATTCAGAAGGAGTTAATGCCTTATAAGCATCCAAGTGTGTCAAAAATGAATACAATTTACATAGATTTTAGAACTCTTTTTACAAAATTAACTTCCAGAAAAAATTAACATAAAATTTACCACCCACAATATCATTAGTCAAATTAATGTATGAAATCTATAGTAAAATATTTTACATTTTTATATAAATAGAAGTAAACTTTCTATCAAGTTGTCCTTAAATATATATGTTCTTTAATTATTGGATCAGTTTGCAGTCAGAATGGAGAGTTGTAGATAAAAGAACTAATTATAAATATTTAAGTTAAAAAGTAGAATTATTCAAATAATTATGGGACATTTTTCAAAATATTTTGTATCAAAATTATATGAAAAATAATATGTATGTTGAAAAGAGTTTGAATCATATGTTTTTAGCTCTTTAATTTCATTACAAAGAAGTAAAAACATAACAAGAGTGAGAAATGGTGGGTAAGTGACTGTAGAAAAATTCTAAAGAGAGTCCTTTATATAATAATGAACTTAAAAATATCTTGTTTTTAATGTAAAAATAGATATATATAATATTAAGTATTTAAAATTATAATGTATGAACAAAACCTAAAAAGTAAATATATTATTAAAATCATTGCAGGAGTTATTGACAAATATATGTAGCTTTAGAATAAAAAAAACCAATAGAAAGCAAAAAAATATTTAAGAAGTTAGCTAAGAAGTATCTTACTTCTTTGTTAAAGGGAGATGACGTCCAAACAA